TTGAATGTTTCCCGTGGTCCAAAGTCTCAGGGGAGAAAAAGAACTGGCCTGGAGCCATCTTGAGGTCTGCAGAGGAGACCTGGTAGACGGTGAGAGGAGTCCAACAGAGAGACCCCCATAGGGCTGAGGAGACAGATGCTGAGGGGTAATCATGTGCAGCCTGAAGGAAAAGGTGCATTGCCCACGTCATAGGAACTGGAGTTACAGAAGCCCAGAGGTAACTCTCCAGACAGTCCCTGGACAGGCAGCCATAAGCACATGTCAGCAGTTTCATGCACATGCCTTGCATGTGTGTAGCACTTGGTTCACTGCTGTTGTTACTGTCTTGAAATTCTTAATTCTTCTCCAACGAGGGGCTTGGCATTTTCATTTTGCATCCAGCTCTGCAAATCAAATAGCCAGTTCTGTGTGCTGAGAGAGTGCAAAGCTGATCGACAAAGGTACCAGCTGGGTAGGGGCTGTTTTGTGCTCAGCCCAGAGACTGATGGGAATGGAAGAGGAAGACAGGATGGAGAACTAGAGAAGCTGAGCCTGCCTGCTGTCCTCCTAAAGCTTTTAGCCTAAGAAGGCTTGAATCTTAAATCAAATTCAGAGTTTTGGTTAAAACCTAAATACTGAATTGAGATGCTGTTTGAAATATAAAGTTGCCATCATTCTGTCTAGTAACTAAAGATCAATAGAAAAATTCTAAAATTGAATCTCTTCCTCCTGAAAAAAAAATCAGTATTGCCTGATGAAATAGTATAGAATTAACAATAGAAAGAGTTCATAATAGATTAAGAAAAAAGGCAGGTATAGATTTCATGTTGTACAAAGTTCTTTCATTACTAGTAGAAACTGTTTTTAAATGGATGGTGAAACTTTCTGGGGTTTATTTTTGTTGCGGACTGTTTTTACATGAGACAACTGAGGAAGGAGTAGACGTAATTACCCATGTGAGGGTTGGAAATTTACTACTATTGTTTCACTGCTGGCTGTGGCATTGCAAAATTCAGTCTCCACAGAACAAATTCTGAAACAACTAGAAATGCATGCCACCTCAGAAAGTTAAAATTATATGCTAAAATGAGGCTCTGAGATTATTAGGTATGTATTATTTTTACCACATACCATGATTCTACCATCCAGTTTATTATAATAATTATATATACTTGTTGCTTTGGAATTCAAACATGAATTCTGGCTTTTTAATTAACAGCAGTTATTTGAGATCAGTAACTTTCTACAACCCACCTGTCCTGAAACATTAAGTATAACGTTGAGAGATGACTCAAGCTGCTAACACACATAGTTGTCCAAGAGAGACAGTGAGAATGGGAATGAGAAAAATTTTCATTCATACTATAGTAATATTATATGAAAAAAAACCTGACAATGATAAAGAGGAGGAGCCAGCACTATGGTGTAGCGGGTAAAGCTGCCGCCCGCAGTGCTGGCATCCCATATAGGCACTGGTTCGAGTTCCAGGTGCTCCACTTCCAATCCAGCTCCCTGCTAATGTGCCTGGGAAAGCAGTGGAGGATGGCTCAAGTGCCTGGGGCCCTGAACCCACATGGGAAACCTGGAGGAAGCTCCAGGCTCCTGGCTTCAGATCTGCCATTTGGGGAGTGAACTGTGGATGGAAGATTTTCTCTCTCTCTCTCTCTCTCTCTGCCTCTCTGTAACTCTGCCTTTCAAATAAATAAATCTTTAAAGAAAAAGAAAAAAGAGGAAAGTTTTCCCAGGGCTTTAAGTAACTCAGTTTCATGTGTCAATGCAGGCACATGGTCTATGCTTTAAAAAAAAATCTGTGAAGAACCAAAAAAGAATTAGTATTGATAATTATTGCAATGGACTCTTGGTCTATGTCTTAATTAGGGCTGCTAATACAGAAATACAGACTAGTGGCTTAACCAACAGAAATTTATTTCTCACAATTCTAGATGCTGGGAAGTCCAGGATCAAGTTGCCCGCTCAGTCAGTGTGTGGTGCAGGCTCAGGTCCGGGTTTGTGACAGCCCTCTTCATGTATTTTCCCACGGAAGAAAGTAAGGAGAAAGGAGGAAGCAGCTCTTGTCTCTTTTTATACGGTCACTAATCCCATTCTTGCAGTTTCCACCCATGCAACCTATGGACTTCTTTAAGTTCACACCTAATAATAACTTGAGGTTAGGCATAAATTTTGGGGGGACACCTTCAGTCATCTAGGATATTCACTCATTACAGCTGTAGACTTACCATAGTTGTTTCAGAAACCAAGTGTGGGAGAGACTGGCTAGCTTGTTCAGTCTTTGGCTTCTTGACTTATACTCCATTGCATGGTCTGCCTAGCTGGGAGACGGCTTGGGAGAATTCTAACTGGTGGAATGTGAGTGGAAGTGATGTACATACACTCTTCCTTGAGCAATCCTTCATGCTTTTCCCCATCTGCCAACTTGATGTTGTGATTATCAGAGCTCTAACGTGGACGAAACTTGGGATCGTGAATTAATGTTCAGTGGAGACTTGCCTGCCATTCAGTGCTTTACAAGAATGAGAGATACAGTTCCATTGTTATGTGCCAATCTAGGCTTTTCTTCTTGTTTGTTGTAGTAGCTAATGTTATATTAACATGAATATATTCACATTTACGGTTTAGGAATTTAGCTTGCTGATCACTCACACTGTATTTTAGGTACCAAGATTTTATAAAACTTAGTTTGTATAGTAAGTTGTTGAAGTAGTTGTAATTGTCCTTTCACAGATGAGGAAATCAAGGCTTAGAAAAATGAAGCGAGTTGCCTGAGAAGATACAGAGTATGTAGAGAGGATCTGAGCTCAGGTCTGCCAAGGCTCCGAAGTGTGTTATGTTCTCCCCAATAAACTGTTTTGCACTCTAGGAGGAGAGCACTGTAGAAACTGCACATAGTGCACAATTTGTACATCTGCTTGTTCATTCACTTTATTCAACACACATAGACTCTGTGCTTACTTGGTGCTACACGCTGTCCTAAGACAAAACACCCTTTCTATTGAGACAGAGAGCAGCAACTTACATTTTGGGACCTGATGCTCTGGTCTGTGAGCTCCCCCACATTCAGATGTTGAAATTCTAACCTCCAAGGTAATTGGGGCTGGGGAGGGGGAGGAGGCCTTTGGGAGACATGCCTTGGAAGGAACCCTGAAGAATGGAATTAGTGCCTTTATAAAAGAGGCCCAGACACCAAATTTGCCAGTGCCTTGGTCTTGGATTCCAGCCCCAGCACAGGGATAAATAGGTATCTATTGTCCATAAGCAATCCAGGGTATGGTAGTTTGTTATAGCAGCCTGAATGGATTAAGACATTTATGTCTTAGAATTCTAAATGTGCCTTCTTGTTTAAGTTATTCACAAGAAATGGTAGAAGTACCAAGAAACAGCTTTCAGTATCTAATTTACTCATTGGTTGTATAAAGAAGAGTTGAACATGTTCCTTAAAGGTATAATAAAACCACTGTAGAAACATGTTAATCTTAAGAACATCTGGCTTAATAAAGAATGAGGGCTTTCTCTTGGAATTCCCATGGAAGAACATACTGTTGCACCCCATGTTACTGGGATACGAGGACAAGAAAAACGAGGAGAAATCTAATATGCCCCCTCTATGCAGTACTATCGTAGCACAACTGGCAGATTCTGCCAAACTGTAATGGCAAAGTCTAAGAGAAAGTCTGATGCTATTTCAATAAACAATAGCTTAATTAATAATAATCTGCAATAAAATCTCATGTGCTTTTGTTACAGAAATTTATGAAACTATTATAGTACAAAAGCAAATATAGAGCTGAAGTTGACAGTTTTTCAGAGTATATGATCCATTCTGATTTATATAATACTTAATCTTAGGATCTCATCCAGCTGAGATTTAATACAATCTGATGAGACTAGGATAAATATTCATGAGATAAATTTAGTTCTCACAAATATGTCGAAAGTGAAAATCTTATTGAAAGGAGGTATCTAATAATCTGGAATATCACAATAACTCTCAGAGTTAAACATTTGAAAGAGCTTGACACTCTTCCTAGTGCTGCTGTTTTGAGGGACTGTTTTCTTAAAGTGGATTGGGCTACTACAGAACCAAATTGGATCCATTTTTGTATTTTACAGCAAAAAATCTGTAGCCAAATCATTTTGCCAGTAGCTAATGTTCAAGGTCTGATGAATGTTTATTTTCTACATGGTGAAAATGAGGAGAATTAGCCATCTATGTTTATTAATCAGCCTTTTCCATGCTGGAAAATACGGTAAAGCAGCAACAGAGACCTTTAGTCTGAGCTGAATTGTGTATCCTAACGTGGCAAACTCTGTTCTAGAAGGGTCAAGGAAACAGGTGTCTCTTAATGAATGTGAAAAACTGAATTGAAACATCTCTGAAAATTTTTCCCTTTTATTAGGTTACCTATTCCTGTGCATTTTCTAAGAGAGAAAAGACGTGGACCTAGATGGATTAAGATTAAGAAACACCAGGGGATACAGAAAGACTTTCATCACAGGTGATGGCGGCACATGGACAAGCAGACGAGCGACCATCAGGAGAAGGAACTTTTGTACGGAAAGAAGGCAAAGGTATGGATAAGAATCTTGCAGGGGGAACAAATAACAGGTATTATAAACAAGACTGGAGCCGCGTGGCAGACTACTAGTGTTTGCCAGATGTTTCCAGAAGCGATAAAACATGGCCTTAAGAAAAAGTAAACTTTCTGGAGCGTAATGGATGGTAAATACGGCCACTTTGCAAAAAAAACCATCTATTATCAAATATTCGCAGAAGCCATGAACTTCGAAAGAAACGCTTTCTGGTATGGTCGTTGTGAGTGTTAATACATCATGGCTGCCCCAAAGTCAATGAAAACTAATATCCCCCCAAAGGGGTGTGATTTTAGGGGTGAATTATAATCCCAATATAGCCAGTACAGCATGAGAGCCAGCAGTGTGGGGGGCCCTTCGGGGAGGTGTTCCTGGGCTGGACGGTAACGTCCCGGGGACAAATTAGGTCTGGTTTAGCGCTTAGTAGTAACGACCCGGAACCCTCTTCCCGCAGGGGCTGTGGCTGAGACGCCTTCCCGACCCGCTCGACGCCGCCGGGGCTCCCTCCCCACTGGGCACCGCCCACCTCGGGGGCTTCCAGGTGCGGGCCCTCGAGCGCGGCGCGACCTCCGCAAGCAGCCGCCGTGGGCTGCGCCAGGCCGGGCCGTGCGGCGCGGGGTCTGCAGCCTGGGCGGGCGGGTGCGTGGCGGAAGGCGCCGGGAGGGGAGCCATCGCTGCCGGCCTCGGGTGCCCGCCAAGGGCCACGAGGGCGCGGGGGAAACCCAGAACTTCCCGCCCAGGAATGACTGCCCCCGCTCCCGGCTCTGGCTGGCTGGGGGGATGTTCTCGCGAGAGGAGAGGGGGCGCCGGGCGCCGCGGGTTTGGGGGGCGCGGGGAAGCCTTGAGGACCAGGGCCCGGCAAGGAGGGGAGCTGAGGCGGCGGGCAGGGCCGGGGACGCGGGGAAGCCGCTCCCGCCAGTCGCCGAGAGCCAGCCCCTGACGTCAGGAGTTTTCCTCAAAGTCAACAACAAGCCCCGCGGCGGCGGCGAGAACCGATCGGCGGCGGCCCCAAGAGGGAGGAAGGAGGGGGCGGGGAGGAGGCGGCGGCGGGGTCTCCCGGGCGAGGCGCGGCCCTCGAGAGGAGGCCGCGGACCCTCGCCCCGCGCAGGGCGCGCCTGGGGGCTCGGAGCCTCCGCCTGCGGCCGCCCCGCCGGCAAGATCCGGCCCCCGCCCGAGCGGTGTTTTCTGGTGATGAATTGAATTTGTAGCCGATATCCGATTCCCATGTAGAGTCTCCGCCTCCTCCCCCCCCCCCGCCGCCGCCCTCCCTCCGCCCTCCCCCTCCCGCCGCCGCCGCCGCCGCCGCCGCCTCCTCCTCCTCCTCCTCCCGCTCCAGCTCCGCGGCCCGGCCCGGCCGGCTCCCTCCCTCCCCTGCAGCCCTTCGCCTGCCCTCCCGCGGGCCGCACCGGGCTCCAGGGAGCCAGAGGCTCTGCGGGGTGGGGGGAGGACAGGAGGGGAGGAGGAGGGAGGGGGGACCCCCGAGTCGCCCCCTCTCCTCCCCCCGCCCCCCAACTCCATCCTCCGCCGCCGCCCGAGCAGCTGCGGGGCCGGGGCCGCCGCCGCCGCCGCCTTTGCAGGTAACAGCCACCGCCCCCCACTCTCGCCCCCTCCCCGCCTCGCCTGCACTCCCCGCGGGCCCCGGGCCCGGGTCCTCCCTCTTGCCTCCCTCGGGCGGGGGGGTGGGGTGAGGCGGGGGCGTCTGGGTTGTCACCGCGCCGGGGGCGTGGGCGGGGGCTGGGTCGCCGGCGGCTCTGGGTGTGGGTTGGGGAGGCCGGGGGATGCCCGGCGCGGATGACACCGACACCCCCTCGCTTTCCGGGGGAAGCTGGGGGGCGGCGGTGCGCAGGGGGCCGGGGAGGGTGTTCCCGGCCTAGCGGTACCGTCTGTGTCTGGGCTGCCCCGGCCCGGCGCCTCCTGTCTCTGCGCAACTCGCGCTCCTTCCCTCGCCCCTCCCCGGCGGGGCCGTGCGGCGTGGGGAGGGGGCGCCGCTCGGACCGGGGGTGGCGGCGAGGTTATGTAATGCGTGCGGCGCCCGGGGTCGGTGTTTGGGTTGGGGGAGGGGGCCGTCTGCGCGTGGGGTGGGGTGAGGGCGAGGATGCACCGGCGTCCCCCCTCCCCCCCTCGCCCCGGGGTCTCCTTCCTCTCCCACCCTACGCCGCCGCCGGCGCACAGGAAAAGACGGCACCGGTGGGGTGGGTGTGTGTGTCGGGGGGGTGGGTAGCGCGCTCGTCTGTGTTTTTAATAGTAGTGGGGTTTTGATCCGCTTGGGAGTTGTGTGCTAAGAATAGAAATGTGCGGAAGATGCTGGGTTTGGCTGATCCACTGATGCTGTCGCCGCTGGCGGCGGCGGCGGCGGCTCAGGCTGCAAGTAAACAAACCAGCCTCTTCCTCGTCCACCTCCTCCTGCGCATCGGGCTGCATCAGCCATGATGCTGGTGGGGCCCTACCCAGCCCAAAGTTGCAGCTTCGCTGGCTGCGGCGTTCACCCTGACGCCGAGGCGGGGTCACCCTTGTTTGGGATTTCCCGGGAATCTACGGTTAGGCTAGAGCTACTGAATCTCTTTGGGGCCAGGTTTTTTCCACTAGTGGTATTTACTGTTGATCTGAAAGCAGACGGGGTGCTTACCCATAAGTCATAGGATGCTCCCTTTTCTTCCATCAAAGAAAAATAAAAACAACTGGTTTCACCACTGTGGTATTTTGGTTGAAAGCCGGGTAGGTTGTAATCGATAGTTTCCAGGTAGAAATCCAAAAGTGAAAGCTGTGCATATTGGTTCATTTCTAGTACCTGTTAAGATCCCCGCACTTTGTTTTAAGTTCATCTTTAAGTTACAGGATATGAAATAATGGCTTTGGCAGTTGGTCCATTGCCAGTTGTCTCAAGTCATCAGTTGAGACACGTGTTCATATTTGGTAATGCATGGTCATAGTCTATCTTGTAGTAGACATGAATTACTAAACAACCACAGCTTTTCGATTTTGAAATTAAAATACATGGAATACAAAGCCCAAAGTAGAAAAACCCAATAAAGATGGTTTAGAAAATGGAGATTAGTCTTCAGAAATTGAGCATCATTTGCAAAATCTGTGCAAAATGAACACAAATACTACAGGAGGTGGTCTGAGACATGACAGCATCTTTATTGAAATGTCTCCTTATTAGTGAATTGCTAGTTTTCCAAGGTATATGACACAATTCTGTGCAAAATATGTGTCAGGATTGTACATTTTTTTCTTGAGACAACCCATAATCTTGACATTGAAAGATTACAGAGGAAATTGTATTTGAAGATCGACTTTTTGTTTTTGTTACTGGGGTTGACCCCAGTGTCTTTGATTGGCTTGAACTTCTGATTTTAAAGCAAGGGGAGTGCATCTGTGGAATAAATGAGCCAACGTTGGCATTTAGATGGTTGTACAGTTTTAGTTTTCAGTTTTAATGTTTGTATTGTGTAGTTGCAGTGCTGTGTTTTCTTACAGCATTTTAAAACTAGTATGTAGTGTAAAGTAATTGTGTAGGACTTGTGAGGACTGTTAAACTCACTTTGTCCCCTCCAGTTTGCCTTTTTGTAATGATAAGTGAATTGTTTTCCGACTTCCCAGTTTAACATGTGTATGTCAGAGGGCTCTTATGTTATTTTATAGATGTAAAGTGTTTTTAAATAAGGTTTCACTCACTTAACAAATACTGAGTGTGAACTGTATGCTAGGAAGATGGTTTGACTAATAACTTTCTAATATTTACTTTTCATTGAGGATTACTGTCATTAGAGAATTTGTTTTGCAAATCACTCCAACTCTAAATAAACATGTACTGGTTAAATTTATTGTGAGACAGATGTACTTAGCCTAGAGTGTGGTGCAGAGTAGTAAGTACTTAGGATTTTTAAACTCTAGCTTTTGATGAAACACATGTAAAGTTCCAACTGTTGGGGTTTCTTTATGAAGAGGAACCTATTTTTTAAATTGATTTTGTGGAAGTTTAGCACTTACTTAACCTTTGCATGTGTTTTGTGAAAAGATGCTACACTTTCTTTTCTTGTTTAACCTTTCAACAATTTAGCCTTGAGAAGATAAGGCAATTACTGTTAACAGTGTGTTAGATTTTTATCATGATTTTGTAGATTCTTTATATTGTGATTAAATTTGCAGCTTTAAAAACTAAAGTTTAGATTTGAGCAACAAAATCCAAGGACAGGAAACCATTTCATTTTTAGACAACGTCACTTCTGTAATTTGACTTGGATTTTATAAATCGATGGTGCAAATACTTTTTGTAAATTTCTGCTAAAATATTTAAATAATTTAAAATTGCTCTTTTGGTAACTCTATAGCATGTGCTTTGGTATGCTAAATACTGGTTTCACACAGCCTGCACTTTTCTGGAAAGATAAGTCTGGATCTAATGATTTAAGAAATGTTTTATCCTCATCTTTTGTGTATGATAGGGCTAGATTCAGTTTTGAGTTAAGGTCAGCCAGTGCCTTGTGAGCCCTTGCCTTGTGTTCAAGGCACTGTTGAATGTGCTTTGCATGTATTAATTCATCTAATCTTTACAACTTCTGCTATACTTTTGAAAGTGATTTTCTATTGAGAGACGCGTTGACTGTGGCAGTATAAAAATGTACTTCAACTTTCCTAATGCTGAAATACTTTTTGTTTTAGTGAGTTCCTTAACTTACTTACACAAGAGTTCCAAATCACAATGCTAAATTTAGATAATTTAGTACAACAATTTCCATGGAATCAAGTTAATATAGTTAAAAAAAAATTGACCCATTAACATTGCTTTTCATTTTAGTTGTTTCCAATGCCAAATTCAATGCTTCAAATGCTTGTGTACCCTGTAGCAGCATAGTCTTTCATCAGATTAGATGGAAGGTCATTTTCCCTGCCAAATAATCTTCAAATCCTAGCTTGTGAACCCATTAATGTATTATTCTTGACCTGTAGATGTGATTTTTAGTTCCATTTCTTTTCAGTACTCTGTTGATATTGTTGATATTTCACATCCCTAAATGTTATATTTTGCTAGTATTTTGAGGGGAAAGTAAGGAGGGTTACTAGAAGAAAGCACTATATTTTCACATGAGGCTTTCCCTCATGTTAAGGAAGATTGATTATATTTGGGGGAAAGGAAGGTGGTGTTTTGCCAGTAGTGGAGTTTAGCACAGATTTTGTTTGAATGTTTGATCTTCCAAACTATATACTAAGTTTTTGAGGACAGGAGCTGTGTGTACTCGCAATACTATCACCCATGATGCCATCTATATATGAAATAGAAGAGCTTTTCTAATGCTCTACTTTGTAATTTATGGCTGAGGAAGCAGGGACAGAGCATTAGAGTGACCTTATACAGCATCACTTTGAAGGGGCAGAATTGGGAACAGAGACCCGGGTTTCTTGGTCTGTCCAGTGCCCTTTCTGATTGACTATTGTGATGAAGTTTGTTACATGATTCCATACTTACTTACTGGTTAACTCTTCCTTTAATCTGGAGGGAAGCCTGTCAAGCTGGTCAAGCTGATTCTCGTCTTTAATGGGCCATATATCCAATTGCATTTTATGTATATGTAGGCCCCCTCCCCCATTTTGTAATAGGGAGGTCTGCAAGGCAGGTTGTAGGTTTTTACTTGTTATCTTAGGAGAATACGGCTAACTGCAACTGAAATTTCTTCAGCAGCAGACCTCAACCTATGCATGTTGTTAGGGATGCCTTCATGCAGAGACAAGCCACACTCTACATGGGAAATGGAAGGGATAATTTATCAGTAGCTTGTTCAGTGGATTATGTGAAGCAGAGGAACTGAATAAGTATTTTCTTGGTTGTTTCAAATTAGAATATTAAACGTATCACCTAATACAAGTTGCTTTTTTATTTTTAATAATGGCATATTGGTTGAAAATGGCATTCAGATGCTCTAAATGGGAGTAGGGGAAAAGGAGAGGAAATACTTTGTGGTTTTTTTGAGATATATTTTAAAGTTTATAGAGTTAATTTTTAAGAACGGGCAGTTTGGAAGAACTGATACTTTATCTGAAAGTTAGGGAATTCACCCATGCTTAATTGGATATTTTGCCATAATAGTCTGGATCTCAGTGAAGATAGCTATAGAAGGGGCTTTAAGAGAATCCCATAGACTTTGTTACTGTACTCTGAAGGGAGGAAACACCCAAAATGCATAGTTTATGTGGTTCACTTCCATGTAGGATATATTTTTGCTATATATGATAACAACTCTTCAAAGGGATAGACTTAGAATTATTTGAAGTACAGAGCAAGTTGCCTTGAATTTTCTCTACACTTTAGTATGCTTCCTTTCCCAGAAATCCTTTTAAAAGTTTGATATAGCCCTGGATATTTATTATGACATATATTAACTTTAATTGCTTTTTGAAATAAGAAAGTGCCATAAAATTATATTGTGGTTGCTCTTGACAAGCATTTGTATATCAAAGTTGTAACATTTTGTCATATTTGAACATTAGTTCTTTATTAAGTCAGTTTGGGTAGCATCTATAGAGTACATAGAAAGCTGTGAAGCAGAAAAAAATGCATTCTACATGGTATTAATTA